GCTCTTTTCCTCCATTTTCCTCTTGGAATTTTGGGCACACATGCTTAGCATGAGTTTTAAGTCGCTGGGTCTAGGACTCGAATTGTGGTCAACTATGTGAGAGTCCAGGGACATAGCCATTACGCCATCTGCAGATGCCCTAGACAAATAATACTTCTAAAAAAGATGACTATTGTATTAGGGAGAAAAAAAAAAAAAAAAAGAACACCAGGCACCAACTATCAAACCATGTAGGTTCATGCCTAGGTCCAGACAGTCAATGTACTCCACCTTCCTAGTTACAGTGATGACATAAGGTTGGACACCTACCTGGTCTGGATCAATAAGGATCAAATTCAGGAGTCCTGTCAGTAAAGGGGAGCTCTCTCTACCAATAACTGGAGCTGCATTGTTACACTGTGAAGCCTGAGAATAAAGCCTACCCAAAGAAAAGCAGAGCTCAAAGCTGAAGAGAAAGAGACCCAAGATGATACTGTTTTGAGTCCTGAGATCCAGCTGAAGATCAATCTACCGTAGGCATTCTCAGCTATATGAGCCAATAAATCCTCCCTTTGCCTTAAGCCACCTGTAAAGAGTCCTAACCAAGGTCTTTCCCATCTGCTTGCTCTTCTGGGAATATTTTGAGGGAAAAGAGACTTGTCTTCTTGGGGTTACAGAAATAATTGTCTGGTGACAGATTGTCCCTGGGGTGAGAGCCACCATGGCGACATGAGTCCAGCTGGCCTTTCCTAGGATACAGAGTCATGACTGTCAACACACTTTCAAACAGTTTCAGTACATAATTATAGACTTGTCTGCTGTTTGTAGAAGCTATTGTTTCTGCCTTCCCAGTACCTTGTTTGGTAATAGACTCTGCCATTTCCCCCCATAAGGGGTTGGAGGAAAGTTTATGACCCAAATTGAGTTAATCAGAGTGCCAAAGACCCTTGGCCACAATGATTGATCCAAGAGGGAGTGGGACTTATGAAAAACATTAAGAACGTTCTCTGGTATTTTCCAAATGAGGACAGAGGAGAAAATTTTTTCAGTCACCAAACAAGGTAGATACAAGTCTGGAACTCTCATTTCCCCAAATGCAAGGAGGAAGTTCACATATAGGAAAAAAGAAAGCCAACACATAAGACTGGTCAAATTAGTTGTCTCAATGTCCATTCTCTTCCTGTCCTTTTCACGATCAGAATCTTCTCAGAGTTTTTGCTGCCCATTCAGAAACTAAATTTATAGCCTCCCTTGTAGCTAAATTTATAGCCTCCCTATAGCCTCCTTGTCCCAGAGACAAAATAACACTGTAGAATCCAGTTGCTTACGTACACTGGACCACATGCCTATCTGTACTATTAGGTGAGACAAAAAGTCTATGTGTCTGAACTACCGTATTTTGGTAATTTTTTTCTTTTATTTTATTTAACTTTGTTTCCTTATTTGCTTTAATTAATTAATTAATTAATTAATTAATTTTAATTTCACCAGAGGGAGAGAAAGAGAGAGAGAGAAAATGAAAAAGCAAGCCATCAGGTCCAGGACTTGAACCACGGTCAGCCACGTGGCAGTCCAGCTCTCTTAACTACCAAACCACTCTGCTGGTCCCTTTGGTTATTTGTTATAGCAGCTCAGTCTGCACCCTTATTAATGTGAAAGTGAAAACAATACAAAAAACAAAATGCTTTAATGGGGTTTAAATCTTTGGATATAGCTGTCCCTGCAATGCTAATACATAGCAGCATGTTTTCTGTGTGATGAGAACTGTCCTTAATGTTCTCATGAAGTATCACATTTAATCCACATCAGTTTTCTGAGGTGCTAGTGTTATTCCCACTCTATAGTTTAGGATATCAGAGTCTAGAGAGATAAAAGTAATTTGGTCAAGGTTCAGATGATATTGCTACTAAGGATAGTCTTTCCATGATTTGTTGTGTAAGCCAGTAAAACCCTTTTTTAGCATGAACTAGTTCAAGCTGGATTCTGTCTTTAGCAACCAAGTGTTCTAACTGGATTTCTGTCTAGTTTTCATACTCCTCTATAGAATGCCAATCAAACAACGCAAAATTTTGAGATACCATTTAATGACGGTAAGTCCAGCACTCCCAAGAAACCTGCTCCTGTGTAAGTAGTCAGACCATAATTGCAGCTAGAAGACAACAGGGCACAGTATAAGACATCTTCTCAAAGAGAACTTAGGCTTCCTGCCTACAGCACACAGTTGGATGGTTCCCTCAGTACCCATTCCCACTGCTCCCCCCTTTTACTTGTCTGCCTGAAAAAAGGATTGGGTCGTCGGAAATGTCATGACGCATTTTTGCATAGAAAAATACATCATGATGTTTCCAACGACCCAATAAATTACTCGCTTTCTTAGCCTCCTGTATAGCAAGAGTGGGCCAGATGACACAATTTTGGACCATGAAAAGTATTAACCCATGAAGGGATTCCAGCATAGTGGTTTAAAAAATAGGCTTGAGTCAAAATGCCTAGATTCAGTCACTTTAGCCGTTTCAAGTCAGCAATTTACTTAACCTTTGTTCCATGTGGATAATGACTGTATCCACCTTGTGGTCAATTTTGAGGATTAAAAGAATTGATAAATGTAAAGAGCTCAGAAGAGCACCTGATACATAGTAAACACACTACGGGAATTTCCAAATATTTTATCACCCATAAGTGCCAACATGGAACAGTCTAGCCTCCAAGAGATACTAAGATAAGCAAGGTGGAGAACAGCACACACTGTGTGCTCCCCTTCGTATGAATGAGAAAGTGGGAGCATCCATCTACATGTGCTTATGCACACACAGACTCTCTCTTGTAGGCTAGAACAAGAACCGTTCAGAGCTGCCTCTGAGAAGTAGAATGTAGGACTGGGATTCTGGATTGGGACAATCTATTTCACTGCATCTTTCTTCTTTACTAACTGAATTGGATTTTTAAAAATCATGTTTGTCTTTAAAAGCTCAAAAAATTATAAACTTTTTAACTTTAGTCTACCAATAAAACAGTTGCATAAAATGGCAAGCTTCCTTTTGAAGATATTCTAACACAGGCTGGATGGTAATGTGTTAGACATGTCATGCTAGCATAGAGAGCCTCTACACTCTGTCAATTCCAACATTCACCTTTTTGGTGGCACCAAAGAAGATAGGACTCGATGGAAGATGCCTGGACATGATAAAAAAGAACTGCAACCATCACAGACTGTTGTTACCAGATAGGATGCACCGCAGATGGGCTCCAAGGGCAAGCTTGTCTCATCTTTCCAGGGTGGAGCCAGAGTGAGGACTGTGGAACAGGCAGACACGCTGTGACTCCTAAGTCCATCATTTCTTCACTGTATCAATAGCGAGGTTACCTAATGTCTTTGAGGCTTTTTCTCATGTGTAATATGGGAATAGCTACCTTACAGAACTGGTAAGGAGAAGTGGCTAGTGCGTGTAAAGCTCATGACACTACACCAGTCACACAGTAAAATACTTGAGGAATAGCAGCAGCCAGCGCTGAGGGAGGCAGTGACCACTTCTGAATACCTGCTCTATGTGTCAATTTTTAAATGTATAAATATAAAAAAAAAAAAAAACCAGAAAGGAGTTTTAGGTTGAATTAATAGAGATGATTACAGGGGCTGGCAAGTGGCATGGTAGTTAAAGGCACTGTACTCCCACATGGCTGACCACAGTTCAAGTCTTGGACCTGGTGGTTTGCTTTCTCACTTCCTCTCTCTCTTTCTGTCTCTCTCTGATCAAACTGCAAAATAGTAATAATAATAATAAAGTTAAATAAAATTATTAAAAATAGAGATGATTACATACAGTTGATTTGTGAACCCCACAACTGGATTTTTTTTTAAATTTATGATAGGGTATGTACATGGGAGGGGCAGAAAGAGAGGGAGAGAGGAAGAGAGAGAGAGGAAGAACACACGCGTGAGAGAAGCACCCTCCATGAGATCTAGTCACACCATGATCCCCTTCCTCCAGTCCTCCAGCCTGCTAGATCCTGGAACTTGCATGCATGTCTTATACAGCTCAGGCTGACCAGGCTGGGGATTCAAACCATGGTCACCATGTTGTATCTAGCTCCATCCTGGAACAGCCCATTACTGCTGCACCATGGAGCCAGCCCCCGCATTGGATATTAAGTTAGGATGGTTCCTGAAAGAGTCTAGCCTTCAAGACTAAACTGTTCTGCCCAGTTCACTTACAGCTGAGGCCTGTTTTCTCAGCTCCTCACTTTTAAACCTTCCTTGTAAACCAAAAGCTCTGAGCAGAACCAGGAAGTGTTCTGTTATTAGCCAGAAGAGGATAAGAATGGCACTGGCAATTTCATGTATTCCTGGAGACTCTGTGTCCAGAAGACGATTTTAAGAGTTCTCATGTATACATGTGATTGGGCTCAAGTACAGATATTTTGGTCTGAACTTTGAAGTTTATGGCAAATAAAGGGTGGGTTGAATGCTTCTAACCAGAAAGCAAGAAGTATTCACAAATGGTACATCTTGAATGAAATAAGGCAAATACTCTGAGGCAAAAAGTGACTAAACTCATTCATCCCGATGGGAGACTCAAATCTGGAATTTTGCAAAAGTAAAATCTAGAGTGAAGTCCTCCCTTTTAGTGAAAGCCAAATGCCTTGTAACAGAATGCTAGAAAGCATTCTATTCCCCACCCTGGGACAGCTAATGTCATTTTTGGAAGAAGAAAAATATTAACTACCCTGCCCTTCAAGTTTTAAGCACCTACAAGGACCTGGCTCTGAAATGTTGCAAACACCTTTCCACCAGAGTTACAAGCAACTGTGACAACTGGCCAAATAATGTGTTAGCAGGAAAACTGAGCGTTATCTGTGAGTGGTGCTTGGGATGTAGTGTATGGTTGAGAGCAGCACACTGGCTATGTAACCTCCATATTCGGCGAGTGCTGCTGTTCTGCAGGCCCATCTCAGGCAGGATCCAGCCATCCACAGACCAAGAGGCTGGAGTGTTGGGAACAGATGACGCTGTGTTCCACAGATAATGGTAAAAAGTGACCGTTAACAGATAAGGGGTAAGCACAGTATTTGAAGACAACTCCTCCAGATGTTCTGTTATTAAATTCTTAAGAGCTCAAAGCCTTGAAGAATTGAGAAATTCTAAAGAATTTAAAAAGAAAAAAAATGGGAGGAGGATGGTATCAGAGACACAAGAGCTCTTTGTAGAGCAGACTGGCTCGCTCTGTCCCCAAGTTCATCTTAGAGCTCAAGCAAATTCCAGACATGAAGCAGAGATACTACACTTGTGTCAAGGGCAAAAACTTCTGGTAGTAGCTCTTGGTGACATCAATCATCAGCTCTTGAGTACACTCTGGAAGCTCCCCTGAGAAAAGTCCTGAGGAAAGAAAGACCTAGTCAGCCAAATAGGGCCAGGGGTGACCTGAAGCTCTAATTTCCGTTTAATTTAGGGAACATTTTTCTTTATTATGGGTAACTAAGTGCTAGGTTCTCCATCTTAGTACTAACAGAATATTCTTCAGATCATACTTTCTACATACCTTCTTAATTTTTTTTTTTTTTTTTGGTGTGTGAGGGAACAAATGAAAAAATACACTCAAGGTAGAAGAGCATAGTACACCACTGCATGACCTGAAGAATTAAAGCATCTGACTACATTGGAGGTTATTCCAGACAAGGACTCACCCAACCCCAGGATTCTGGTGTGACCCTACTGAGTAAGCCAAGGTGAGTACTCTTAAAGGACTCTTATATGTCCTGCCGCTCATATAATAAAACTGAACCTAACGCCCAAATACGCTAGGTATGGACAAATGAAGGAAGGATTGAGTCATCGGAAAAGTCATGAAGCATTTTTTAGGGAGATAAGTGATGGAGCAATCTAGAAATGTCTAATAAAACTTTCAAAGTTCATACCCTGTAACTTGACAATCTAGCTTCTGAGAATATATCCCACAGATAATCTTGCCCAGATACAAGTGTATCGCTGTAGCAGTGTCCAATGGTGAAAATCAGGTACAACTGCCAATGACCCTTTATGCTAGGGGATTAATTAGCTACATCGTGGTACAGACATGCAGTGAAAAACCTGTAGCTACTGAAAGGAATGAGGTAGTTCTTTATATACTGACAAGATAAGATGTTCAAGATACGTTGTCAAGTAAAGAAAGCAATTAAAAACAGCATCGAGAGTAGAAATGGACAATGTGAACCCATCTACATAGGCAAAACATTTCATATACACGTATTATATGTACGTATAATATGTACATATACATACATATGCATATGTAAGCTTATATATGTATACTCATATGCTTACATACTTACACATTCATATGCATACATAAGCATACAGGTTCACATGGGGGGGTACACACAGAACACTGACAGAATAGAAAAAATAGGCTTAAAAGCAATTTCTCACAGGCACGCTGTATGAATTAGTAACTCATGTTAGACTTGAAAACATGTGTTTGGTCTACAGAGTAATCTTTTTTTTTTTAATTAGTAGACAAAGTTTCAGAATTCAGAGATGTTATATAAAATCTCCAATATTTGGCTCCTCATAAAATATCAAAAGATCCCATGATATTAGGCTTGTATAAAACAGCTGTAACAGGGGCCAGCAGATAGCACAGTGGTTACGTTCTTGGATGCCCACATGGTCGATTGTGGGTAAATTCACACGGGGCTTGTGTGGGTTCGTAACCAAAATCCCAGGAGAAGGGAGGAAAAGGGATTGCAGCGTGGTGTCATATTCCCCTGGCGGGGGGGTTTCCTTACTTTCCCTCTCACTGTCTCTCTCTCTCTCTCTCTTCAGCAAGCATATGCAAAAACCTCTAAAAAATAAAATAAACTAGCTACAACAGGCTATTTCTTGCATCGTTTATGTTATATTATCTGCCTGGCTTTTCTGCAGGCATGTGAATTCTTGGCTCCTCATCCTAATACATTTTAGGGGGTTTCCCTTTCATTCTGTTCCATGTCTCGGTTTCCCATTATGTAGCCCTCCAAGATTGTGCCAGTTTTCTTTCCCATGTCTCTGTACTGAAAAATGGAGACGGCCAGTATTATAGTACCTAGATAGTTAGCATTTATCTATGACACTAAATAAAATAAACATGGACAGTATTCGATTACAGTGCAAAAAGTACTGGACACAAAATAAGAGATCTTAAGTGCTAGTCAAGGATTTCCCACTAACTGGCTTTGGCATCTTGCACAACCCAAACCCTCTGAGTCTCAGTTTCCTCATTTACACAGTGATCTCTAAGGTGACATGGAGCTTGAATCCTCCATCTGAACCTCTAAAAACTGTGTTTATTTGTATCTGAAGTACCAAGAAATGCTTCTTTGCTTTCTTCCACCAATGTCAATAATCAAAACAAGTTGGTTTTAAGGAACTTGAATAAATTAGATTAAGATATTTCTCTAGCAACATCATTTTCACAATAACTGGGGCTGTTTTGGTCTAGTACTTGCTAGGAAAAGCTAAACTATTCTACAGTGGAATCCCAGTATGGGAAGAAATACTAAACAAAAGTCGTCCTCACCTGTGTAATACCAGAGACACATGACACAGCAAAATGGACAACTGATTCCTTAAAGAATCAGAGTGATGATTTTGTACATCTCTGAAACTCATATTCAGTGATCTGAGTATGAGATTTTTTGTTTTAACTGGAAAAACAATTAAACTACACTGTCAACTCTCATTTTCCATCGATGAATCCATAATGTGCCTCTATACATACTTCATGATTTCAACTATATGAATGGAGAAGAGGCTGTCTTGGGGTAGGAAAATATGAGATTTTTCTACTTTCTGTTTTTCGGTGTTTGCCAAGATTTTGGGGATGAAGACATGTTTCCTCACATTTTGTAACTTGAAACTCCAAACCCATAGGGGCCTTATTTATGGGCATTTTATCAGCCAATGCATTTGGTCCAATCAGGTGTACCAGAGGTATCTTTGGTCTTAGGTCATCTAAGGCTAACTTCAGTTTAGGAATCCTGGCTCATAGTTACCATTCTCTAGACAGACCTTTTCTTTCTTTCTTTATTTTCTTTCTTTCTTTCTTTCTTTCTTTCTATTTTTTTTCCTATCTAGAATTCAGACCAAGAGAGAAATACTTCTTTTTATTTTCTCTGTGTCAGTGGTGGATTTGTTCTATACATCCTCTTGTTGAGGGTATTTAAGCCATGTGTGGGTCCAAGGCTTTATCTCTCATCCCCACAAGAGTGTCATGCACAAAACTATTCTATTTTGAAGACTGCATCAACTGGTGTAAACGTATAGCTTGACTTTTGTTTTTGTTTCTTCTTTGGTTTGGACCATTGATAATTCCCTCATTTTATTATTAACCTAATAATGTGTTTTTAAAAATGCTTGCTACGGGAACCAGCAGTTAGCGTAATGGCTATGTCACTGGACTCCCACGTAGTCGACCACGGTTCGAGTCCTGGACCCAGTGGCTTAAAACTCACGCCGGGTGCATGTGCGTATGTGCCTAAGATCCCGAGAGGAGAATGGAGGAGAAGGGATTGCGGCGTGACCATCCCCCCTGGGGGGTGATTTCTCGCCTTCTGTCTCTATGTCTCTCTCTGTCTGTCTGGTGAGTGCACGCGCCCTATAGCAAAAAACCTCTCCAAAAAAAAAAAAATGCTTGTTATATTTTCACATAGCATTTCCAAGTACTTTGTAATGCATGTATTTCTAAGTTAGCTAGATCAATGTATTATCAGAGATAGAAACTGCATTACTCTTAGGATAGAAAATAAAATGAGTTTTAAGAAGGATAATATAAAAATAATTGACACCTAAGGTTACCTGGGCATCCTGAGAAGACTGTGAATGGTGGGACCACAGTTTCTGGAGGTAACACTGTGTTGTCAAGGATTTTGCAGCAGTCTTTCAACACACATCGGCGTCCCTGAAATTAAAATTTTATCAAAAGAAAATAGGTGAGGAAATGGGAAAAGTTGTCCAGTCTGCTGTGTGGAAGAGTATTTATATTTTCTCCATTCATGACCAATTCTCCATTGTATTATATCATACAATAGCCAAGGACAAAGGCAAGATATATGGTTGCAATTTCCTATCAGGTGGAACCTGATGAGGAGGTAGAGTGTGTGGGTGTGTGTACATTTGTGGGGAAGGTTTATGCTAGTGGTAATGTTTATTTTAGGCATTATAGACTATGTGAGCTTTGTCTTCTGAGAGTTCTATTTAATTCTCTTATTTAATTTAGTAGACATGTGTTGTTTTACTTTCCCTTTCTTCTAGTAATAAAATCTGTATCTTCCTTGGAAATGTCCCCTACCCACATCTTGGTCCATGAGCTTTCTCCCCAGCCCATACTCAAAACCCTAAGCCTGGTGATAGCTACTATTGTAGGAAATTGGCATACAAACCAAATTAGTCTGATGAACCTCAGCCTCAGGGCTGATGTTGGGACTACTGGGAAAAGAAGTGCTTTACACAGGGATCTCCAGAGAACAAGTGGAAGCCTGGAATGGTCATCTATTTCCATGAAGGAAGAACCTGCCTGAGAGTGAACCTCCCAGAGGAAAGCAGCAGAAATGGAGACTAATTCTCATGATGTTGATTGAACCCCTAGAGCCATCTGGGCATGACATTAGGATCTACTTCTGTATTCTTGGTTTATATTAGCCAAGCCATTCCATTTTGCACCTGCAAATTTAAGGTCTGTTTGTTTGCCTGTTCTTTTGTTAACTCCAAAAGTCTCCGAAAAAGTTTGACAAATTCATTTATATTTGAAATTATTGGTTTATGTTCTTACAGAGGCAAGAAATAGTTACTTGGAAATTTGGGCTCAACATTACGCTTGACTTTATCTACTTTTCGGTTCTGCCATGATCCACAGTATTTTTATTTTTTTATTTTTATTTATTTTTTTGCCATAGGGTGCATGTCCTTGTGAGAGAGAGAGAGAAAGAGACAGAGAGAGAGAGAAATAGCACCTTCTAAGGGAGATGGCCACACCATCCCTTCTCCTCCATTCTCTTCTCAGGATTTTGGGCACATGTGCACACACCTAGTGTGTTTCTCAGGCTGCTAGGTCCAGGACTCGAATCGAGTCCATGCAGAGTCGGCCATGTGGGATCCAGTGCCTTGAGCACCACTCCACCTATTGGCCCTGACCCACAGTATTTTAACAGCAAGAAACAAGATCTGTTTCATGATTTTAAGGAATAGAGGCTTCTGTATATATTGGGTCATCAGGAAAGTCATGACATATTTTTCTATTCAAAAATGTATCATGACTTTTCTGATGACCCAATAGTTTCAAAGCTGTGCCTCAGGTTAATTGCTGAGTAAATGAAAATTTTAGTTTTTACTGTGTTCACATTGCTAGAGCCTTTAAATTTGCTTGTGTTCTTGTCAAATAATCTGATAAAATATACCTTGCCAAGAATGTTAAAGTCTTTACCAATACCCAGACAATACTGAGCTGACCTCAGATTTTCTCAAAGAACATGAAAGATACTTGATTTGGTTGTATTCAAATTTCCCCCCCAATATTAAATATCCAAAGTGTATGTATTTCCTAGAAAAGATAGATTGGCAAATAAATTTTTTAAAAAGCTTATACCTCCATGGTCTGAATTTCCTTTGTGTATGTGCATGTGAGCATGTAAGGTGTTTTGGGTGGGTCTCACTATGGTGGTGAGCCTCCTGCCTCAGCCTCCAGAGTAGCTGATTCTACAAGAGCATTTCACCACATGCAGCTCTTTGGGACTATCTTGCTACATTGTCCACACTGGCTGAAAGATTGAAATCCTCCTGCCTCAGCCTCCCAAGTAACTAGGACCACAGTATTTGCCACTGTACCTAGCTATTGTTTTTTTAGGGTGGGCTGGGAGTCAAATCTGGGCCTCACCTGTGGCCTCAGCCTGCCAAGCCACAGAATCCAGTGTATGCTACCCTGGCTGTGCTCAGGGTCTAAATCTAAAAGCCTAAATTCTCTCCAGCATGGTGCATAATAGCATTGATAAAACTTGACAATACCTGTTTTTTTTGGAGAGGTTTTTTTGCTATAGAGTGTGTGCGCTCGCCAGACAGAGACAGAGAGACAGAAAGCGAGAAATCAACCCCCGGGGGGATGGCCACACCGCAATCCCTTCTCCTCCGTTCTCCCTTGGGGATCTTGGGCACACACGCACACATGCCTGGCGTGATTTTTAAGCCACTGGGTCCAGGATGCGAACCGTGGTCGATACATGGGAGTACAGCGACATAGCTATTACGTTAACTGCTGGTCCTAAACTTGGCAATATCTTGAACTCAGAAGCAAGTTATGACTACAGCTCTTCATTCCTTCCTGGAAATCTTTTCCACAAATTACTTGCTAGTGGCAATTTCAAAAACATGGAAAGCAGTTATCTCCCCTGATGACTCCCAAAATACTAACTCAAAGACTTCCTTTAACACTGAAGCTCCTAATAGCTCAGACTATGCACATGGCGCACTGAGTAAAAGGAAACAGAATATGCTGCTTAAGGTATGATAGATTCATGGAAAGCAGCTTTTCCACTCTGTACCACTAGCCACCACACAATCTGCACACAACGGCTTTTTCCACCAGTCAGCCATTCTACCCACTTAAAGAAATAATGCTTAACAGACTTTTAGAAGCATACTGACCAATTATCAATAAACAGCAACAAAATAAAAAATGCAAGGACCAGCAGATGGCATAATGGTTACATCACTGGACTCCTCGACAGTGATTCCAGTCTCAGACCCAGCGGCTTAAACCAGACATGAAGCGTGTGTGTGTGTGTGTGTGTGTACCCAAGATCCCGAGAAGAGAATGGAGGAGAAGGGATTGCAGCATGGCCATCCCCACTGGGGGATGATTTCTCACTTTCTGTCTCTCTCTCTCTCTCCAGCAAGCACATGTACCCTATAGAAAAAATCTCTTTAAAAAATAAAATAAAAAATACAGGTATTTCTTATGCACGAACAGAATGCAATAGCTAAAGAGGTAAAAAGGTGAAAACACTTCTTTATTATTCCTTGGAGAAACCTCCAAAAAGTCAAGAACTATAGCTATGTTGCCAGTATTAGAGCTATCTATGTATCCTTTTGCTAGTTAATATCTCTGAGCCTTGGGATTCTTGTCTGTGAAATAGGATGTAAAACCAAATCTGCATGGATGTGGCCAAGATTAGAAGTAATAAATATCAAACTCATAGCATAATACAATGTTTCTTTTTCTTTTTTAAATAACAAACATGTTTTTATTTTCTCATTACTTTTTAAAACGTGAACATTTTGTAATTCAGCCATACTTTTTACTTCCAGGTCACTTCTTCACTGGGCCTCAATTCTCTTTTAAATAATACACTCATGTTCCGGAAGGCAGTTAGCTTTTCATCACTCTTTCTGTCTAGATAACATCCAAACACAAATCCCACAGGGGCAAGTATGTGAACCCAGTGGTCATATACAGTCTGAAGTAAGTCTGTCATGACTGCTATGGCTCGGGCACCAACAACGACCCCGTGACCAGTGCTTCTTACTACTGGTTGTTCAGCTCTTCCTTCAGGAATTTGGGCAATTTTGATTAATATCCATATCTTCACATATCCAAACAGAAGTTAGACAACCATGTGGGATGCTACAGGAGCTGTGTGTCATGGGGACAGGTGAACTTTAAAGTGTTCCTGCTAGCTCTGAGATTCTAGAATTCTAAAAGAAAACTTTCTCCTGAGATTACGTGAGAATTTGTCAAGGCTCACCAAGTACTGCCAATACTGAATAATGACTATTTCATGAACTGATATACTAAAAAGTGGTACAAAATCAGAGCACCTGACTAAAGGTCAGGACTAGAACTCTATAAGCAGAATATAGATTTGGGAACAGAATCTAGATTTAATCTTCTAGATATTTTGCTCCAGGGGTAAATGACAGTGTTACAGAATTACGCTATATTTATAGAACCACAGATGTAGTTACAGGTGTCTTCACTTTTCCCAAGAAAATATCAGAAAAACTCTGCTGTGGCTTGGAAGGCTAACTTTTGTCAAAAAGTAAGGATGAGAGGAGGGGTAAATTTGACTATCTTTCCCCTCCCTTCAGTATCAGGCTGAACCAAAGACTTTCTGTGTCTCATACAAAGTAATTCCTCTAGAGTGAGGCTATCTGGCAGAACCACCACTTCCCAAATTCTGAGTAACAAGGCATACTGGAACAGTATTTGCAGCAACCTGGCTCTCCCTTGCACCATCCATCTTCACTGTGCTCTCATGGCTCCTGGAATATAATCTGCATGGCTTCTGCAAGTTTTGGGGATACTATAGGATCTAGATCTTATCCAGGGCAGAGAGCTTACTCTGTATTAATGAGGGTAGTCGTTTAAAAAAAAAAAAAAAACATGAAAATGACCTTGGCTTTTCCTAGAAATCTAGTCTGAAGTACAAATCTAAAGTGTAGGG